GGCTTGCCTATAAGACTTGCTATTTCAAACAAGGCTCTCTTATCCTGGAGATGGATAGGGAGACCTTCCATAGCAAGCCAGACCGGAACAATAGGGGACTCCACATTAGGCCTAAACTCTTGTGACCATTTGGTCACACGCATAATACTACCATGAATGATCCAAGTCTGCCTATTCCAACAACGCAAAAAGTCATCCTCCATCTCAAAACGAATGAGAACATGTTTCTGATCCAGCAAACCCAACTGAAATTTTCCTTTAAAACCAATGATTTCAAAGGATTTTCTCACAATAGGCAAGCTAGGTCTGTCTTTAAAAAAATACCCAATGAGTGCTCTACTATGTTTTTCTGCCAGCGCTTGTACATCTCCCACTTCAAACGAGACTGAAGGCTGGCCCTTAAACCGGGACTTCTGAGTCTGAATTTTACCTTCTCTATTAGCAACAATGTCAGCAAACGATTTCCCAGTCCACGGTGGCTTCAACTGCTGCGGCGGCGAGGTTACCGCCGTAGGGTTTTCTGAATCTATTTTTTAATTAAAATTTACGAAGTATTACACCATGGGAATTGCTATCGGATTCTTATGACAATTAAGGTTTTCGACCAAAGTTTACCTTCAAAATTGGAGTTGTAGTGGCTGTTTTTTCCTCATCCTCTCCTTCAGAGCTGTAATTGGATTCCCAGTAATATGTTTTGTCTTCGTGATCATAAGAAGTTGTGGAGGAAGTTTGGCCTACAAGAACCAAAAAGTTTGCTTAAGAGAAAAAACTGCTAACAACTAAATCAAGGATAGAGTAATCATATGTAGCATAATGATTGCAGTGCTACCGATGTATGCATCATGAAGGAAGCAGTTGCACAAGGTTGGCCTGTAATGCATATTAAGTATAAGGTGGCCTTAGATGTAAAACTTCCTTCTTGTGGTTATTAAATATTGTGGTTACAAATTAGTTACATTTATATTGAAATATGATAATAGATATTTTTTGTTTGTTTCAAATGAAACGAGCATTCAATTCTACTTTCATCTCATGAAAACTTTATTGTGAACTGTAATATAGTTATGGAATGAAGCCCGTAAATAGTCAATACAAACATATACAGTAAATGACTACAACTAAAGAAAGTACACAGATTAGGTACACCTTTAGGTAAAAGCCCAAATTTTAAAAAAGCAAGTAGTGAAATAAATTTTAGATGCAAGACATATGAAATAAATATGAACACATAGTTGTTAAAGGTGGACACCTGAAGCTTTTCATAAAAACAAATGTTTCACATGCATATTAAGTAGAAAATTTGTCTTGAAGATAATGGAAGAAATGTGAAGCATATTGAGTTGACAAAATTGTATGTTAAGTGCATGTTTGGTAAGCATAAACCGCATTTTCTAGCTTTTATACTGTTTCAGGCACACACTAATTTTCTTAGTAGCACTACAATTTTTACAATGAGTAACATCTCATAAAAGTCTGTAGCTTTTAGTATTAATTAGTCCCAACAACTTGTATACCAAACAAAAACTAAATTAAACCGTTAGATTTTTACCAAACAACTACCACCTGTGTCTTTTAAGATATTTTCAATCACTAAAGGCTAACAATTACTAAAAAGCTCGCAAAAATATCTTTTCAGCTAGTTGTGTCATACATACCTTAAATGCATTTTGGAGTAAACATTAAAAATGTAGAAAAGATTCGTTCAGTAATCAAAGGGTAAAAAGACAATAATTTCAAAAATGTCTGCTTGTTTATGAAACAATTACTCTCCCCATCTCTTATAGCTTTGTCAAAGTTAACTGGCACACAGAATAATAAAGTAAAAACTATGTGGTTAAAGTTTGTACAGATGAGAGAGAATTAACAAGAATCCCAAAGTCTTTATTTAAAAGTGAAAGTGACAAAGTTAGTTGAACAACCTAAAAAGAAAAATTAATAAAGTTAATGTACACCATCTCCTCTTGCAACTTCTAAGAGCATCCCCAACGGTTCATTTGGAGAATTTGCTTGCAATTTTAAAACTAATAGCTTATCATTGAAGCATTGCTTTTCCTATTGCTTGAGAAAATTAATTAGCCAAAATAAGCTACTAGTTTGAACAAGGAAAATTATTCAATATAACATTATTAATAATAAACGAAAAATGTTATAACTAACCATTAGAGTACATTTTACATGTTACAACAAATGCTTATGTGACTTGAGATACTAAAAAAAGGCCAACACTTCCATCACTTTCCCTATCACTACCCTACTCCACCAATCCCTTTGTCTCGCTCCCCCACTCCATTCATCCTCTCCTAGGCACACACCCTTCTTCCTCTCTTTCCCTTACCTCATTATTTCCACCCTCTAGAATGAGCCTGATGAAAAAACGGCAATAGCCACATCAAATGTCATCCTCCATAGTCGATGAAGACTCTCCCATGATGACACTAGCCACCACAACAAAATGAATAAAGCAAAACATTTAATTGCAAAACAACCCCTAGGTAAAAAGAAAACCAGGTTCACTGTCAATAATTCAATATATTTAATTGCAATAAAAAGCATTTTTTTGGGTAAAAAAAGCAAAAAGTTTTAACCACAAGTTTTTTATTAGGTGAGAAGTCTGTTTTTAGGCTTTTAGCAATGGTGTGCGTGCAGTGGCGGACCCAGAAGTTTTCTGAAGCGGGGGCACTCCCGCATAGATGAAAATGGGTCGGACCGGGTACGTGTACCACTGGTCTTTTTTGTCAAGTGCGTTCAAATTATTATTTTCAACTTGAAATAGATCATTCAATGTCGGCTTCAAACAATGAAAATTATAAGTCTAATTGTGAACTCATTAACACTATCCTAAACAATAATATTTGATTGTTTTGAAAGAACACATAATTTTGGATGAGAAATGATTCATCCTTGTGCCGTTTCTGGGTTTACATTATAATTCTCGTTATTTTTCATACTATAAAATGATAAACTAGGATCATGTCGAATGCTACACATTGTACCACAAAATTTGTTGGTACTTGTCTGAAATATAATACTATCTTGTTAAAAATGAAGTATAAATCAAGTTTATGATTTCATCCATCAGTACAACTTTATTTAATAATATGATTCTATATATCTAACTTTTATCATACTATAGATAAAAAAAATTGAAGGGTCTGTCGGTTTGTAACTAATCTATGGTGAATTGACACAATTTTCATGTATAGACTTTTATTCAAGATAAAAGTTTTCAATGTATTAAGTTCATCCCACATATTAGAATCCTTGTCATATCTTTGACCTTTAACTTTAGATATACATTATTCAAACTAGGTAAAAAAATCATCAATGTCACTTTTCATATAACGTGTTGTGACCTTATCAGGATTTGCCCCATCACAACTTAGTGGTTGTTTATACAAAGTATTTCTTATTACTAGAATTGTTATATGTCTCTGACGGAGTCCTATATATCCGTTGAGATATATTATCTCGATCTGAAACTTTTCAGGAGCCCAAGACTTTACACAGTACGGAGCCCGTTCAATAAGGCCCATTTCGGCCTATCAGGCCTACTTCAGCCTTTGGGCCTATTTCGGCCCACTTGGCCCATTAGGGTGGAGATCATCCCCCTCTGTCTATAAATAGGAAATTTCCCTCCTTAATAAGGACCTTCTTTTGGATCCTCTTTGAAGCATCTTCTTCCTTCTTCCTCAACTTATTATTCTTTCTAGAATAGCTTCATTACTCCATTAATGGGAGCTTGTATATTGTAATGGTGAGGAGAGACCTAATGAGAAAGAGAGAGCTTAGACATTAGCCTAAGAAGTCCTGTGTTTTTCTCCCTTTCAGGTTTTCACGTAAAAACAATGCATTTGTACCATATTATATTTATATTTACTATATCGTGTTAGATTAAACTCAACAATATCTAATAGTTTTTTGAAATAACGACAATATGATTGAAATAAAGATAGTGGACAAAAATATGACTTAATAACTATCATAGTAATTTTATTGACCATGATTATGTTCAACTCTATTAGTATAGTAACTATGCATAATAACTATAGTAATATTTTTGTCCATTAATTATATTTCTGTAATATTTATGGAAAAAACTCTATCTTTTGTCCGGGAAGCGGGGACACAATTTGTATCTCAAGTACTAATACTAAACTTCGGAGTCGGAAGCAGGGACACTTCCCCTAGCACCCCTAGCCCCTAGGTCCTCCATTGTGTGCGTGACAAAGAATGTGGGATTTGGTTTAATTTTTTTTTGAGGGTAAAGGGATTGGTTTAATTATGCCTTGTTGCTTCCTTCTCTGGAAAGAGGTCGTGAATGATGAAATGGATTCAATCATGGGTAATAATATTTGGATTCCAAGTGATTTGAACAGATACGTGGTTGATTTTTTTGTTTGTTTAAAACGGAGTAAAGTAATAAGGTTAAGGTTTTGTTTGCAACCATTTGTGCTTAAATAAAAGCACTTTTGGAGAAAAAGTGATTAATAGTAGAAGTTGGTAGTGTTCGATAAAATAAGTGCTTTTTGTGTAATAGAAAAAGTAAAAAATAGATTCTACACGGAAGCCGAAAAAGTAAAAGTTGGTAGTGTTTGGTAAAATAAGTGTTTTTTTCTTTAAAAAAAGTTAAAAGCACTTTTTTTTAATTGATTGCAAACAAACCCTAAGGGCATCTCCAATGCTATGATGTGCACGGTGCACATGTGGCACGAGTGATAGCCACATAGATATTAGCATATAAATTATCTCTCTACTTATTTGAATGATTTTATACAATTTTGGTAAGTTTTTCCCTGCAATGTCAAAAAGACCGTCTAGATGTTGACATTGTTGTTGACATTGCAGGGAAAAACTTACCAAAATTGTATAAAATCATTCAAATAAGGAGAAAAATAATTTATATGCTAATATTTATGTGGTTATCACTCATGTTACATGTGCACCGTGCACCGTGCAGGTTACAGCATTCAAGATGCTCTAACTACTATTGTTGAAGTAGTTAATTCTAGTCTCTCTCCGCCCTCCTCGTTTTCTCTTCGACTATCCATCAATGACGGCAAAATTTTAAGACACTGGGACAAAACCTTATTACACCCAGCATCGTTTTCGCCTCGTATTGCAGTATCTTGGCGACCTAGCCTGTGTTACTCAATCCTCTTTCTAGATCGAGCGGCGGGGAAGGATTGAGTTTCGAGGGGTTAAAGAATGGCTGCGGAATTAGGGCAGAAGACGGTGGAGTTTTCGACGCTGGTGAGCCGAGCAGCAGACGAGTCGTACATCTCGCTCAAGGAGCTGGTGGACAAGTCCAGATCCTCCGACCTCACCGATTCTGATAAGAAGATTGGGATTCTCCAGTACATCGTCAAGACCCAGCAGCGTATGCTTCGCCTCAATGTCCTAGCCAAATGGTGTCAGCAGGTTGGTCTTATACTCTTATTTCAATCAAAGTTTGTTTTCTGCATAATCTTGTGCGATTTTGTGCAGTAGAGAAATAGTATAAAATATAACCTGCGTTTGAGGAAGTGTGTAGCTAGGATATCGATTGAAAGAATATGGAACGTGTTTAAAAAGACTGTTGTTTTGATAGGCAATTATTTCGGGGTTCTTGCAAGGAGTGTGACTAATTGTTTTTTCTTTAACCTTTTGCTGTTTCATTTTTAATTACCGTGATAATTTAAGGAATTGAAGATAATGGGTTGATCAGGACATAGGCGGTTTAATCGTTTGGTTATCGTGAAAATAGGAGGTATTGGATTGAGAAAGATTTAGGAACGTTTGGTGGTATAAAGGGAAGGGCAAGCTGGGTGTCACGTGGATAATCACAAATAAGCTAACTTCAATGGTTTGAAGGGGATTTATTTCCTTCTGGATAAACATCACAAAATGAAAGAAGGATTTCATATGTTAGATGTGAGAGAAAGGAGAAACGCTGCAAACACTCAATTAGCTGTAGATGCTGGAAAACAGAGAGGGAACGAGTGAATTGGGAAGAAATTTGAAATGAGAGAAGGGACAAAAATAAGAGAGATCCAGAGCTTATCAACCCAAGTGAGAGAAATTCCCTAATGTGCCGTAATAACCCAAATTTACTCAAAAGACACCTTGTACTATGATACCATCTACTATGCTCCAAGTTTGTCACAAAATGTTAAACCCTAAATTTGATAATAGAAACCAGAACTTGAATTGAGCAGCACTTGAAACTTGAATGGTGCCACTGGATTGAACTTAACTTTACCTGAACTCGAACTTTACCTAATTCTACTGAGTTCTACTTTACTTTACCAAACTTTACCGAGTTATCCTCTTATAAAACTCTAGACATTTTACTTTGCTTTAACTTAACTTGTGTAGTTGAGTAGACTTCTCCCTTGTTTTTTATTTTTCTTCCTCCTCCTTGTCTTCTTCTTTGGTTTGTTTTTCTTCGTTGACAAATGTTATGATGTTAGTATGCATGGTGATTCTGGTAATTATGATTTGGTCGGATTTGTTGAAAAAAAATGCTTGGAGACACTTTGAAATGAACTAGGCAGTGGTTCTATTTATTGTTCATGCCATACAAAGAGCAAGGCCCGTGCTTCATGAAGCAAAATTGGGGCTGTTATACCTTCTCGACCTTTAACTTACAACTTCATAACCCGAAGCAGTATTGCAATGCTTTTATAGAGAAATAATAAGCCTATACCTAATATGAATAGGAAATCCGAATGACTAGACCCTAAAGCTAATGATAATAGAAATCATATACCACTCAATCTAGAATCACTATATTTTCTAATCACTACTTTCTACAGTTTAACAGTTCTCTAGGCATATGCATGACTCTATTTCATGACTTTGTTGTTCAACTTCATCTTAGCAAATAACAATTTTGCTATTTGTACTCTAAATATGCTTTTGTAATTGTTTCAAGTGGAATTAGTTCCAACTTCTAACATATGGGTGCTTGGATGCCAAACAAAGTTAATTTACTATTATATATGTTTAAATTCATTACATTTTGGTTCAACTTCACCCTGACATTGATTACCTGATGTATTTGTTTATTTGTAATCCACAGTTACTTTTGGAATTGTTTGAAGTGGAACTAGTTCCAACTTGGGAACTTGGATGATTAAAATAATATTTTGATATGGTATATGCTTAATTTTATTATAGAAAGAATAAGTGATAGCATACAGTTATGTGAAACATAGTTTTGGCATATTGTTTCTCAGCCTATTATTCTGTAGCATATTATGTTTTTCCTTTTGTGCGCGTTGTGGGATATGGTGACTTGCTGTAACTTCGGTAAACAGATATGCATTTTGGTAATTTGGGGTGTTTACATTTTCAAAAAAGCTGGAACATAGAAGAGAACAATTTTCTGTTTTCTACCGGACAAATGTGCCGGACATCTCAGTATAGTAAGACTGGCAATTTTAATTGAAAGGAGTGCATTTTGAAATTCACTTTTCTACTTGGAAAAAGAGAAGACAATCTATGCAAGTCCAAGAATAGGAGTTATAGAAAGACAGTTCAATTCTTGCTGCTCATTTGTTGTGGTTAAAATGTCTTGCTTTGGCTCATAAATGTGTTAAAACCTGAGGCCAAAGTTTCAAGAGTTTAATGATTGGTTGTGTACAAATTCCTTTTATATGAATTGTGCAGGTCCCCTTGATACATTACTGTCAACAACTCGCATCGACATTATCAAGTCATGATACATGTTTCACTCAAGCTGCAGATTCATTGTTTTTCATGCATGAAGGGCTACAACAAGCTCGTGCACCCATCTATGATGTTCCTTCAGCAACAGAAATTCTTCTTACTGGATCATATATGCGTTTGCCAAAATGTATAGAAGATGTGGGCATGCAGAGCACATTAAATGAAGATCACCAAAAGCCAGCTTTAAAGAAGCTGGATGTTCTTGTTAGGTCTAAACTCCTTGAGGCTTCTCTTCCACAGGAATTTACTGAAGTTAAGGTTTTTGATGGTACTGTTTTGCTTCGCGTGGATGGGGAATTTAAGGTTCTAGTTACTCTTGGCTACAGAGGTCACTTATCGATGTGGAGGATATTGCACCTGGACCTTCTTGTCGGCGAGAGAAGTGGTATGATGAAGCTTGAAGAATCGCGGCGGCATGCCCTTGGAGATGATCTGGAACGGAGAATGACCACTGCAGACCACCCATTCATGACATTGTACTCTATTCTGCATGAGCTCTGTGTTGCACTTGTCATGGACACTGTTATAAGGCAAGTTCAAACACTAAGGCAAGGAAGATGGAAAGATGCAATTAGATTTGAGCTCATATCTGATGGCACTGTTGGACAAGGAGGGAGTGCTAGCTCCATTCAAATGAATCAAGATGGAGAAACGGATTTTACTGGTTTATGCACTCCTGGCTTAAAAGTTCTGTATTGGCTGGAGTTTGAGAAAAGCGCCAGTACATCTGACATGGGATCTTGTCCATACATAAAAATTGAACCAGGTCCAGACCTGCAAATAAAGTGCCTCCACACCACATTTATCATTGACCCAATGACTGGAAGGGAAGCACAATTTTTCCTTGACCAAAGCTGCATTGACATTGAGAAGTTGCTTCTTAGAGCAATCTGCTGTAACAGATATACTCGCTTGCTTGAAGTTTATAAAGAACTGGAGAAAAGTGCTCAGGTCTGTCGAGGTCCTGGAGATGTTCAGCTTAAGTTTCAGAGTGACATTGATGCTGAACACAAAATGGTTAGTCATTTCATTTTATGTTTTATGGAATTGGCTATAATGATTATGTCATACCCTTGGAAGTATGAACTATGAAGTATTGAGGTCTTGTTGCACTGACCCCTAACTACTAGCATGGAATATGGTTGACCAGTTCACTTATGTAAGAGGAAAAGGTTCAGAAAAAAATGTACTTCTTTCGACTTTGATCTATATGAGCTACTTCAGTTTTCTTCCTTTAAAAAGTAAAGGAGCTTTAGATTTTCTTTGAACTTCTGTTTCTAACTTCTAAGGATAGCCAATGACAATAGATAATAAAGCTTCACTACCATTCCAGCGTAGTACTCTGGATGCATTCATTCTAAGATGAAAGAGGATTTGTTCGGGTCTTATCTTTTTAGGAATTCACGGGATTTAAAGACACATTACCAGTCTGTAAATTTGTGATTGTATAAATGCACGATCAAAGTGTTTTACTTTTACTAGTACATTATAACTGGGTATTCTACATATTAAATAAAATAAAGTATGTTCTTTTTAGAGGAGCTCACTTGATCTCTGTAGCATGCCATGGTACTATAACTTGTTTTAACCTATTGAATCTTATTTTACACTTAACACAAGTTATATTATGTGTTTATCCTAGTTTTAAAAAGAGCGCCTGGGGAGCGGCTAAGCAACTGGGCTCAGCAGGTTCCAATAGACGTTCTCAATTCCTCGCTTCCATCCGCCTTTCGCGCATCATGAGGTGGTCGCCTTAGGCGTCTCTAGGATGTCGTAATATTTGACAATTTATATGCTTACTGGAAGTTTACAATGTCCTATCTGGGTTATTTATTAGTCTTGTACATCCCAAGTTCCTACACTCCATAATGACTCCAACTCCCCTTTATCACATTCCAAATCTCTTCCCTACATATAATCACAGGTATGCGCGTAATTTTCTCATCTTATTTTCTTCTTCTCTTAATCACTTTTTATTTCCCCGTGCTTCTCTCTGGTTGTCTGTCTGGTTGACTGCATGCTCTATGCTTCACTCCCCTCTGCTCCCATCATAGAGCTAGTTTCAGACTAAGCGAAACCTTTTTTCTGCTGCGATTGTGAGAGATCTTTTTTGCTACCCTTCTTTCTGGTGCAAGAGTGCGAGACATTTTACCAGGTTCAAACTTCTATGCTTCTGCTCTTCAGACCTTTTAACATCATCTACCGAATATATATATGCTACTTGCTGTGTATATTTTAATTTGGGTGTATGACTATGTTTAAATGCTCTATTTGGTAATGGAAACGTGAAAATCACGAGGAAACAGGAAACATCAACTTTTGCTCAAAAAACGCTTGTTTGGAGAGTTTCCAGAGTTTCCGTAGAGTTTCCGAAACAAACGTACTCTTTCCCGAAACAGAAACGTACTCTTTCCCGAGAGTTTCCGTGCTACACAAGTCTTGATATAATCCTGTATGAGTATGACTAGTATGAGGCTATACATCTCCGACTACACTTTTTGCATATTTGCATGGGTGTATGACTGTGTATTACATATCTCTAAGTTCCAAGAGGCGCACGCCTCCACCTCGGCTAAGTTTAACAAAAACGCCTCATGACGCTCCCTTCTCGCATTTCGCATCGCAAAGTATCATGTGTAATGTGTTTGAAGCTTTTCTTCTTTTCTTGTTATCATCATCATCATCATCATCATCATACGTTTTAAAGTCTAACTGGGAGTGTAGTAGTAGCATGGTCGTATTCTATGGCGTGCATATTGCTTTTACAACTTCAATATTGTAACCGACGTGACTATATCATTTCTCTCAGCTCTGCATCGTCTTGTGATATTCTCCATGTAAATGGAAAAAACTATGATGCTGACAGTTTTGGAATTCCATCTCATTATCTCTTGTAAAAATATAAGAAGGTTGCAGCAGGAAGATCATCTACCATAAAACTCATCACTATATTGTTTTAAATGAACTTATAGTAGTAACAAGTTTTAGACATCTGAATATCTTATTAACTGTAAAGTCATGCCACCAACACCAACATGTAGGGATTAAAGTGATAGTGATAATAATAATCATTGTAGTAGTAGGTCATGTATTATTTTACACTTAACTTTTAAAACAACTTATGGCCTATATACATCATCTTCTTGTTCACACTCACTTCTGAATTCAAAGAGACAGAGCCACAGAGGCAATTGCCATAAGTTCAATAGTTTCATTAGTGTTATAATTCCTTACTAGTTGTCTACATGTTTCTTTTCTCTTAAGGTTTTTCTTTTTCTTTTTATGTTTTATTTCGCAGAGGGATAACAAGATTGAACTTGGAAAGTATGACACTCAAGAAGTCTTGCTTGTACGTGCCTATGGATCCTCGTTTTTCTCACTCGGAATAAACATAAGGTTTTCTGATTTGCTTTTTTCCCCAAGTTATTTCTTAAATAAGTTCCTCATCTTATTAAATCAATCATTCTGTGAATTGTTTGCAACTTTCCTTTTTTCTGCGAATGCTAAGCAACATTTCAATTACTGCTCTTCTTTCGTTTGGCTATCATATCAATATTCATAAGCATGTGCCATGTGTATAAGCATTGGCCTCTGCCTCTGATTCAAGTATTAACTAAAACCAAGTATTTGATTAGTTTGCGGTTTCCAAGTAACTCTTATTTAGAGACGCTTCCTAATGTACGACGAAAAGGTAATTAACATTTCATCTATAGATGCCGTGCAGGCTTGACGGTAGCTTACATCAGATTGATATAAGCTACACTTGTTTTTAGATAAATGTAGTGATGTATCAATGACTTGCAAGCAAAAGCCTCCTTGTTTTTACAATGAATCTGCACCCGCAACTTAGTGGGGCATGCTATGAAGTTAGTGCTAAAGACTTGGAGCCCGTTTGGTAATACCCAAATCGGCTGTATTGGCTGATTTTGCTAAAATTTATGAAGTTCTGGCTGGAGTGGCTGTATTGGCTGATTCTGCTGATTTATGAAACAATTATATTTAAAATTTATTTTATTAATAAAATAAATAATAAATTATATGAAAAATAGCTAAAATGATTCTCTACAGTAACTTCAGCCAATACAGCCAGAAAAATAACTTCAACCTTACTTTTTATTATTATTACACAATTCACCACGCGAAATCAAAAGTTATGTGTTTGGTGAAAAAGTTGACTGAGAAGGCTGATAAGCCGAAAAACATGACTACCAAACGGGCTCTAGCAGTGGACTAAGAACTTAATAGCTTATGATATTTTGGTGCCCTTAAATGTGCTATTTCTTTTCACGTTTAGGATTGGACGCTTCATTCTTCAGTCATCTAAGAATATTATAGCATCATCAGTACTTACTGAGCATGAAGATGCCCTAAACCAGGGGAGTATGACTGCTGCCGAAGCTTTTATAAGCTTGAGAAGCAAAAGCTTATTGCACTTATTTGCCTCTGTCGGAAGGTTTTTAGGCCTTGAGGTATATATGTACAGTTTTTCCTTATTCTCCTCTGCAGGCTTTTGACTAAATGGGCTTTTCCCTGCTGTGCTACTACTTAGGTCAAACTAATTCTTTTTTGTTTTTGTTTTGTTTTTAAAGCTCTAACATTTGCTCGTTTTTACTCAATATAAACTTTTAATCTTCTCAATATATTAAATTGATTCGTAGCATTAATTGATTAATAATAAAATTATCTTAAAAACCCAATCACCAAACCAAAAACGAATGTGCTGTTTCTTTAAAAAATCCTCAGTTAACAGAAAATCAGAGCATCCTAATTAGCCATCATTTGTGACTTTCTGCTTTTTTTTAAAATCACAATCATAATTTTTGCAGAATTGCAGCCAAAGACCATAATTATTGCAGACCTGGGATCTCACTATTAACAACAACAAGAATATAAGAATACATTCATAAGAACTACCACTACTATTATCACCACTACTCCTACAATAACTAGCAAATAAGTGTTGAGTACAAAAAATGTGGTTTCAGTAGTTCCTGATGGAATATAGGAGGCTGTATCATTATTGTTGTGGTTATCGCTATTATGGTCATCATTTACCAAGTGATATATCATATAGGGCGAGAGGCATAATAAAACAATCCCAAAAAAAGTGACCGGAAATGCAACAGTGATTTATGAAATGATTATGCTCCCCTAAAGACATTGCATATTTAGACAGATTATCAATAGTTTGTCAATCATTTTATGATTTTAACCAAATTTGGAATGGGGAAAATAATTTAAGTACCCCAAACTTTTAAGGGGCGTGAGTTAAGCACCCCAAATTTGCACATGTAATAAATACCCCGAAGTTTATATAAAATTTATCATAGCACCATCATAATATGTTTTTTCATTTACAAATGTATATTTATAGTGTTAAAATATAAATTTTAAAATTCTTTGGGCATTTATAAGGATGGAGTTATTATCTAAGCTTCAATAATTTAAATAAATAACATTTAAACTAAAAAATGCTTATAATATTTAAATTATTTACCTAACACTATAAATTTACATTTGTGAAAGAAAAAACATACTCCCTCCGGTCCCTATTAAAGTTCCCACTTTCCTTTTTGGGATGTCCCTTATTTAAGTTCACACTTCCATTTTAGGAAACAAAACAGTGCAAAACAGTGCCAAAAAGTGTCCAAACAGTGACAAACAGTGCACTCCACAGTAAAGTCAAATTTATTTTCTTAATCAGTGTGGGAACTTTAATAGAGACCGGAGGGAGTATATGATCATGACGCTAAGATAACTTTTTATTTAAAGTTTGGGGTAGTTATATTAGTTATGTGGGGTGTTTACCTCATTTGGAATTGTGATTAAAAACATAAAATTTGTGTCTGAACTACGCATGAATAATGACCGAGGGATCACTTGTATGACCTAAGCTGGACTGTGAGTGCTCTATAAAATGGACATGAAAATAGTGCAACAGGGAACATGTTTCCACTTTCCACTGTCATTCTCTACTTGAAGTAAGTATACTCAGCCCTCTGCCTGTGTTATATCTTTTGACACTGTTGTGTGATTTACCCATGCATCAAGTGATTCTACTCTAAATAAATTCTTGACTATTTGTTGATTGGGTGTGTATTGTTACTCTTTAATTTTAGAGGGCACATGGCTGTCACTAGCCGTCTAACCTAGGCATTGTTGTAGTGTTATTCCCCTATGGCTTAACTTGCTTTTAACTTTCACCATTTTTGTAGCATGTCTTTCTCTTGATGAATGGCTTAGTGAATTTTCTCATGCACTCCTGCAGGTTTTTGAACAAAGTTTAGCATCACTGAAGCTACCAAAGGATATTGTCAGTGGTCCAAACATGTTGCTTATGAGATTCCCAGAATGCGGCAGCTCTTATTATATATTGATGCAACTTGAGAAGGATTTCAAACCAGTTTTCAAGTTACTAGAAATTCAATCAGATTCTTCTGGAAAACCTCAATCATTTGGTCATTTAACCAATGTCATCCGTTCGAAAAGTGTTGATATTGGTCAGATGCAGATTTATGAGGATGGACTAAATTTGAGTCTTCTCAATTACAATAAATTGCTGTTATCTTTGCGGTGCTGTAATACTACCCAACAATTTGAAAGCAGTGATTTTTCTAAGTTTAGCTTGGATGGTTCTACGGTTGGTTCTGCTCCTTCCAATTTCTCATCCATTGTTGATGAAGTGTTTGAACTAGAAAAAGGGTCCTCTCTTCCTTCTTTGATTGGCGCTGCTACCTCGTCAAGGTTTTCCAGTTCTCCTGCTTCCCATTTTGTTCCTGGAACAACAAATTGTCATAGTTCCAAACTTGGAACATTATCACCAAAATGGGAAGGGGGAGTGCAGATGTTACAGAGTAATACTATTAATGCTTATAATAGTTCAATTTACAATGGGATGGTGCAGTCAGGGTCCACTACTTCACCATCCCCGTTTCCAGAAAGAAGTCAAACAATGAAGAGACTGACGGCTTCCAAATCCGAGCAAGATTTATTATCTATCAGGTCACCACATCCTGGCAGGGTTGAATCTTACGCATCAATGGGTGAAGATCAGCTACCTCGGTCTGCTCAACTTTTATCTCCACCAACCCGAGCTAACCTTCCAATTCCTGCATTAGTTGAAGCATCTTGTGCCCCAATGAACTCTCCTGCAGGGACAGTATCTGCTAGCATCAGAGCTTCGATATCTACCTCATTAATTACAAGCCCCCTATGTACAATATTTCTTCTTACATATATATAAGTTACAGGAATTTTATTAATCCGGGACTTCAAAGATAGGTAAACTATCAATCAGAGACCTGAAGGTGAAAATAGGGCACAAGCAATTGAAAACTATTCTTCTCAGACCTAAAATATCATGATTTTTTTACTTTAAATATTATTTAATCTTATTTAACTAATAAACTTTTGTGAAGAAAAAATCATCAAATATTATCTGTAAAACTAATAAAAAACTAAAGAAATCAAATTCAATTATATTTTAGGTCTTTGATCAATAATGTTCAATCATTTGGGCCCGGCATGGGTAATTTTCATCTTTGAGGTCCTTGATTGATAGTTAACCCAGCGGCGGACCCAAAGGGGGCTAATGCCCCCCCATTTTTTCCCTAGGTATTTTTACCTCGAAATTTTAATATATACTCCCTTCGTCCCCCAATTAAGTTCTCACTTTCCTTTTTAGACAGTCCCTAAATTAAGTTCACACTTCAATACTTTTCTTATTTGGCAAATAATCTACATCAAAACAGTGTCAAACAGTGTCCAAACAGTGTCAAACAGTATTTAAACAGCGCAAAACAGTGCACTCCATAGTAAAGTCAAATTTATTTTCTTAATATGTGTGAAGTCAAATCAGGAACTTAATTGGGGGACGGAGGGAGTATGTATGTGTATGTATTGCTGCCCCGCCTAGCAGGAATTCCTGTGTCTGTCGCTGAGTTAGCCTATTTTCAGATCCCGGATTGATAAAATTCTTTATAAGCCCGTATGCATAATGCATGTATATAAACTTTTATTTGATTGATTTGCTTTGTGATCATTCTCTTAAGTTTCCTCCCAACTGTTTCAGCCCAAGCCACTGCATCGGCTACATGTACAAATTCAAGTCATGATGCAGCTTCTAGACAAAATAAAATGCCCAGAAAGAGAACAGCTTCAGATTTATTAGATTCACTTCCATCACTTCAACTAAGAGAATCTAATGGGAGATCTTACAAGAGAAGAAGGGTCATGGAGTCGACTAGCACACATAATCTTCAGTCACAAATTCGAAATTCCTTCAATATGCCTGGTAAAACTGATGGCTGTAGTTACACTGATCTTGTAAATGAAACTCACAAAGGCAATGCACCTTCTACTGTATATGTTTCTGCTCTCCTTCATGTTATTAGGCAATGCTCACTTTGTATCAAACATGCCCAACTTACTAGCCAGATGGATGCAATTGACATTCCATTTGTTGAAGAGGTGGGACTCAGAAGTGCATCCTCAAAGCTGTGGTTCCGAATTCCTTTTGTTAGAGATGACACATGGCAGCACATATGTTTGCGGCTTGGGAGACCCGGAAGTATGTATTGGGATGTCAAAATCATTGACCATCACTTTCAGGACCTATGGGAGCTTCAAAAAGGTGGGAATAGTGCTTCATGGGGGTCCGGAGTTCGAATTGCCAACACTTCTGATGTAGATTCTCATATCCGTTATGATTCAGAGGGTGTTGTTTTGAGCTATTATTCTGTTGAGGCTGATAGTATCCGTAAACTAGTGGCTGATATACAAAGGCTCACTAATGCTCGTGCATTTGCACTTGGGATGCGAAAGTTACTCGAGGAAAGAACAGATGAAAAGTCGGAAGCATGTAGTCCAAATTTGGATAGTAAACTACAAACTGGACTTAAAGGTGGTGCCAACTCGGTTGATAAGACTTCAGACCAATTGAGAAGGGCATTTAAAATTGAAGCTGTTGGACTTATGAGTCTGTGGTTTAGTTATGGTCAGGGTGTTGTTGCTCGTTTTGTTGTTGAATGGCAATCGGGTAAAGGGGGCTGCACAATGCATGTTTCACCTGACCAACTTTGGCCACATACCAAGGTTTGTTTTCCTTTCCTGGAGTGGATATGATAAGTTTATAAGACTCACTTATTACTCATCATTAATTTCAGTATTCTACTAAAGGCTATGAGTGTACCTTCAGCCTGTTATTTAGATTTAACTTGGTCTTTTTTGTGCTACAATATGATTTGTGAACAGTGATGATAGAAAATAATGAAGTCTAATATTTAATCTTAGATTTAACCTAGTCTTTTGTGTGCTACAATGTGATTTGTGAACAACAGTGATGATAGAAAATAATGAAGTATAATATTTATCTGCTGGTCATTGAATGCAGTAATAGCAAATGTAAATCTTATTGTAAGGACCCATCTAAGCAAGGCGGGATTTGGCCACTTGGTTAATGATGACTTCAGTCAAGTGATCCTTTTTAGTTACATGTGTTCTTCGAATACAGCATTACATCTATTTCCTTGTTGAATTAATTTGATGCTGTGTTTCTTCAACCAACAGTTTCTTGAAGATTTTATTGATGGAGCTGAGGTTGCGTCACTCTTAGATTGCATCCGTCTCACAGCTGGACCTTTGCATGCTCTTGCATCTGCAACACGACCTGCACGAGCTGCTCCTGTTTCGGGAGTTGCTGGTATTGCAGCACCTGCTCCTTCTATTTCAAAACAGACTGGTTATCTGCCATCCCAGGGGCATTCACCAATTATCTCGAATGCAATTCCTAATCAGCCTTCATCAGGTCCTGGAAGTAATCCTGGAGCATCAATTACTGGTCCTCTTGGAGCTCTAAACCACCCTACTGCTGCAATGTTGGCTGCAGCTGCCTCTGCTGCCGGGAGAGGTGGCCCTGGTATTGTTCCTAGTTCACTCTTACCTATTGATGTCTCTGTAGTGCTTCGTGGTCCCTACTGGATTCGTATCATATATAGGAAACGTTTTGCTGTTGATATGAGGTGTTTTGCTGGAGATCAAGTTTGGCTGCAACCAGCAACTCCGCCTAAAGGTGGTTCTACAGCGGGAGGGTCACTACCTTGTCCACAATTTCGACCCTTTATCATGGAGCATGTCGCTCAGGAATTAAATGGTATAGATTCTAACTTCTCTAGTGGTCAACAAGCAGTTGGGCTAGTGAATTCAAGTAGTTCAAATCTGAATTCTGGAAACCAACTTACAGCTGTCAATTCAAGCAGACCAAACCTTTCAAATTCTGCCGTACTGGTCCGTTCCGGAAATACTGTTTCTGCCCTGAATCGTGTAGGAAATGGTCTTCCACCATCACCAAGTTTATATGGGATGAATCCAGGGATGCCGTTACGCAGACCATCTGGTACAGGTGTCCCTGCGCATGTGAGGGGAGAACTCAATACTGCAATTATTGGTCTTGGAGATGATGGAGGCTATGGTGGTGGATGGGTTCCTCTTGTTGCGCTTAAAAAGGTTCTTAGAGGCATTCTTAAATATCTTGGAGTATTGTGGCTTTTTGCACAGTTACCAGATCTTCTAAAAGAGATTTTGAGGTCAATTCTTAAGGATAATGAGGGCTCACTATTGAATTTAGATGAAGAACAGCCTGCCTTGCGCTTCTTTGTTGGGTAAGACTGTCTTTATCACTGCATTAACAATGGTATGAATGTATGATATTAGTTCTGTGGGGTCAAAGTCCTACATGCATAGCTCTACGTATATATTTCTGCTAGCCTATAGATATTATACCTACGTCCCTCAAAACTTTGCCAACTTTCCCTTTGCATCAATCCCCCAATCTATTTTTCATTTCATTTAAAGGAAAAAATTAATGGCTCGTATTGCTTTTCTCTTCTAAAAAATCTCAACCAAACAATTCTCATTTTCTTAATCCTAGTGCCAGTCAAACCTGGATTTTACCGTATCGATAGATAGCCCGTGTCTTTTCTTTCAGCGGGAGAGTCGGCAGCAGCTATTGAATCCGATCCGCATCTGTTGTCGAAAAGAAAAGTTCTAAGTGAGTCATAAGGAAAAAGTGTCGATCAAATGAGCTAAGCCGTAGGCCTCTAATTCTAAAAATAGACATTAAATACATTAAGACTAGCATATACTATTTTGGTATTATTTTCCTACCTAGCGAGGTGTAGACCTTGCTATCATGTTTCTGCATACCTTTATATTTTTAATTTGCAAATATTCTATATTACGCAAGGTTCAAAATTGTGTATTGCATAGTCGTGGCGTTCTTTTAACATTGCATATTGTGTAAGCCTCATTACGTAATGAGGCGTATGCCTGAGGCGTAATATATACTTCATCCGATTCTCAAACAAGTTCTCACTTAGAAAAAGTTTTTACCCCTACTAAGAACTCTGCTTGTGACTATCATTCATTGACAATTTCAATCCAGAAGAATAGGGGAGGATTTTTTTGTTTGGCAGTTAACGTAAAACTGCATTTGTATTTATGATGATGAACTAAGACGACATTTTGTGGGTGTGTTCTGTAATCAGCGATGCGTTGCACTTTGTTAATCCCACGTGTCATGTGTGTAAACAGTAGTTTCTTGGTCACCTCAAAGCTACGTACCAAATTACTCTTGAGTGGTATGAAATGACTAGTTTTTTTCTTCTAGAAGTGCATCAGCTTGAAGGTCGGATACTCGGACCGTAGTGCCAGAACATTTATATTGTTTTAAGATATAGGCAAGAGCTGGATTCATGATGTTTTAGATGAAATACAACATGGCAATTCGCAGTGACATTTAACACCATTAAAAGAAAGGAAAGAAAATGTTGTGCGATATTATATGGACAAGACATAGGATTTTAGTAAACAATTGTTAAAGACTTTAAGATATTTAGGATTTATCATACAAATACAATATCATCCAAGCCTTATTCCCAAAAGATTTTGGTGTCGGCTAACATGAATCGATCCATGATATCGGAGCCACAAAGGAAAGCAAGATTAGGAAAATAAAAAGAGAAGGTAAGATAAAAACGATAGGATAAAGATAAATATAAGATAAAAAGACATAAGAAAGATGAAGGATAAAAATAACATGAGAACATAAGAAAGATAAAAAGATAAAAGAAAACGAGAGAGAAAAGAGAGGATCTATCATACAAATACATTGTGATATTGATCAAGATGTGGCACAAGGATCATTGTGTATACGGAGGTGATCAATCAATGGAATCGTGTGATTGCAGTGGTTTTCAAGGGTTTTGATTTTTTCTATAGCAATGCTGCTAAACCTTATTTATTACTTGGATCGGAATGTTATGCCTATACGAAAGATTTAGTATAGAAAATGATTATAGAAAATGTGCATACTTCACAGAAAATGTGTTTCTAATGAGAAAATTTGTGCATAAGTGGAGTAGCTGCCATTGAAGAATGAAAGTAAAGGCTGATCATGTTGTTTTGCAATGTTTGTCGTGTAAAGGTAAGTGTTCCAGCACAGAGAGTGGTATATTTGAGTTGGAGAACTAGAAAGGAGTTCGCGTGGATTGAATATTACATAGGTTAAGGTGTAAGATAGAAAGGGCATTAAGGCGTTAGAGATGCAGGAGTACTTGATGCATGACAAGAACAAGTAAAAGATGGCCTAATTTAAGGTTTAAGAAAGGAGCATTAAAGGCGAGCTCCATGAGTACATGATGCATGGCAAAAGCAAGTAAAGGATGACCTAGGTTTGAGGTGTGAGGAAGAAAGGGCTGTTGGAGCTCTGGAGTACATGTTGCATGACAAAAATGAGTAGAAGATAAGGATTTTAATGGATGACCTCAGGACACTATTTCTCTTCATTCATGTAGCCAGACTCCGTAATCTGGAATTAAGCCTTGGTTGTTGGTCTTTGTTATATTAACGTCTATGTGGACTTTAATATCGAGAACTGGTGTGGCTGAAATAACCCAGATATTGTGTTTGAATCTGTCTCTAATATTTCTATCAATCTTTTCAATAGGATAATAGGATTAAGGGGTCTGGGGTGAAGTTACATCTGCCTCTACTTTACCCACCTAAAACCTTTTATTCTTGCTTCAAATATGTCAGTCTTTTTGTGTAATAACTTCTCCAACTTTGTTTTTTTCCTTGCAGAGGCTACGTTTTCGCTGTTAGCGTACACAGAGTTCAACTTCTTCTTCAGGTCCTCAGTGTGAAGAAGTTTCATCACTCCCAACAACAGCAGCAGCAGCAAAATCCTTCAGCTGCCCTGGAGGAACTGTCTCAATCTGAAATCGGAGAGATATGTGACTACTTCTGCCGTCGTGTTGCATCAGAGCCATACGATGCATCCCGTGTTGCTTCATTCATAACACTTTTAACTTTACCGATTTCGGTTTTGAGAGAATTCTTGAAACTCATTGCGTGGAAGAAAGGGTTGGCCCAAATTCAAGGGGTGGCTGATGTTGTCCCCCCTGCACAGAAATCACGTATAGAACTGTGTCTTGAGAGCCACACTGGATGTGGTGTGGATGGGGGAGGGAGCTACGAGACCACAAAAAGCAATATCCACTATGACCGGCCTCGTAACTCTGTTGAATTTGCGCTGACGGTGGTCCTTGATCCCGCTCACATACCTCACATAAATGCTGCCGGTGGTGCTGCTTGGCTGCCATATTGCGTTTCTGTTAGATTGCGATACGTGTTTGGTGATAATCCTACAGTGTCGTTTCTCCGAATGGAAGGCAGCCATGGTGGTAGGGCATGCTGGTTGCGAGCTGATGATTGGGAGAAATGCAAACAGAGGGTGGCCAGGATCGCCGATGCAAGCAGCTCTGCCGGTGATGTGAACCAAGGAAGGCTCAGGGTTGTTGCAGATAACATTCAGAGAACGCTGCATGCTTGCCTTCAAGGACTGAGAGAAGGTAGTAGTAGTAATAGTGGTGGTAGTGTGCCATTGGGAAATATTGGATCTTGATATGACTGATAATACTGCTGCAATAGACATCCCTACCTGATTGAGTGAGCTAAAGCAGCAGCAGCAGCATGCCACTGTGATCAGAATAACACTACACCATTTGGATTCCGTGAAGCTTGAATCCTTCCCATGTACAGCTAAAATGTTTTGTAAAATCAATGGTCGTCCCTCATATATGATTTAGTTAGTTCTAGACAACACCAGGGGCATTGTTGCTTTGCATCACTGCTCCATAAATATCACAAGCACACTGTAAATTTGTAGGCTGAAATTTTGGTCGTAAGTTTTGCTCTTTTACCCCTTGTTTATTTCGGCGTAGTATTTATCGTTCCTAAATCCTAAGAAGGTGGTGTTTACTGTCTGCGGCTGTAAATGCAATTCTTTCGTTTGCTCTTCCATTTAAGAGAAATGCTAGAGGTACCCCAAAATGGGGTACCCCATTTGTACCTCACTATATGAGTGGCTCACAAAACCCCAACCCCACAAAATAATTGCCCCACTTAATTCATTGCTTTTTTTAACCACAAAACTAGGGAGGGGGTACAAAATGGGGTAGGATTTGGGCTACCAATAGCAATTTTGTCCATTTAAATTTAATGAAGTTGGCAGTTATGACGTGTCTTCCATTATACGGTGCCTGATGAATGTTCCAACTTCCAACAACGCTCACAACCATACTAAGTTAACTCGTTACTCGTTAGCTACTCGGTCAAGGGTCGAGTAGCGAGTAGGACCGGTTACTCGGGATTACTCGGTCATGTATTAATTAAATATAATATAGGTGCCTGAGATTATAGAAATATAAGTCTTAAAATAGTCTTTAAATTGTCTTAATATGCATAGAAGTGAATAAAAAGATAGAAATCCTATTATCCTAATGATGGAGTAGCAAAAGTCATAAAACAAAAGTCATAAAGCAGTCAATCATCTAATAAGTTGGTCTGATATTAATCTTCGTTGGGTTCAAGGTCGTGATTTCCTTCTTCCATCCTCCATGTCCTCAAATAGATCTTCTCCAAATAGATCTTTAGTAGTCAGATCCACACATATTCTTCCTCTTCCACTTCCGGGTCATCTAAATCAATATCTACGAGTCTATACGCAGACTGAGCAAAGTTCATGACTATAAATTAAAAGATTTTGTGAGTGTGTATTTATCATGAAGGAGAGGAGGGGAGATAATAAGAAATTAGACAAGGGAGAGGGGAATATACGAAAGAGGTGATATCAATTCTGACTAAAGTTGCAAACATACACACTGCCAAGGAAATATTAATATAAAAATGAAAGCTTAATATGAAAGGAACTAAATAACTAAGAAACTTAGCAGCTTGGAATTCTATAGTAAAAAATTGCGGCTACAGTAGTTTGGATAATCACATGATTGATTTATTTTTTTTAACAATGGAAAACTTAATAACTAAGAAATTTAATTTTTTTTAACAATCGCTGTAGCACTGTAGCACTCACAGCTCCTTGCAGTATCATTGTAGCAGTTGCAGCTCCTCACAGTAGCGGTCGGAGCTCCTGGCAGTAGCAGTCGCAGCTCCAAATGATGTAGCAGAAGTAGTCGAAGCTCCAAACGGATGACCAGTAGCTAGGGATGGACCCGGGCCGGGCCGGTTCCGGTTCCGGGCCGGGCCCGGGCGGGCTTTTTTTTCGGGTTACATGGGCCCGGAACCGGCCCGGGTTGATACCGGGTCCGGGCCTAACCGGGCCGGGCCGGGCCGGGCCCGGTTCAATGTTTTTTTTTTTTTTTTTTTTTTTTGACTTTCTTGTTATCTCCCTACCCCCCCCCCTCACCCCCACGCCCCAAACCTCCCTAAAACACCCAGCCCTACCCTAGGAAAAGAAAAAAAATTGAAAAAACCAAAAAAAAAAAAAAAAATGAACCGGGCCCGGCCCGAACCGCCCGGGCCGGTTCAACAAAAACAGGGCCCGGAACCGGCCCGCCCGACCCGCCAAAACGGGCTAAAAGCCCGGAACCGGCCAACCGGGCCCGGTCCGGTCCGGGCCCGCACAGTAGCGGGCCGGTCCGGTTCCGGGCCGGTTCGGCCCGGCCCAGTCCATCCCTACCAGTAGCGATTAATTTCATAGGTTTTGTTTGCACATGTCTTTTTTTAATACTGAGTAATAGCCGAGTACTCGCCAATTTGACTAACTCACCGAGTTGACTAACTCGCCGAGTACTCGGCGAGTAACTCGGAAAATTAACTCGGACCGAGTTAAGGTGCTACTCTGCAAGGTAAGAGGCCGAGTAGCGAGTACTCAACGAGTACTCGCCGAGTACTCACCGAGTAGATAACCCAGCAACCATATAAGGTAGGGCCACGAGCTTTATTATGTAATGATTATGAATATTATTTATAGCTTTGGCTTTTCATTTGAAAGATGAATCACGCAAGGGTAATTTTTTCCATCAATCCTGATTTTGTTGGAGTAATCTTGTGTTCCCAAGAATGCACTCCAAAATCTTAAAATAAACACATCTGAGTGGCTCAAACGGTTTATACACGATAACAAATAAGAAATTGCTCTGCAGTCTGCAAGCTCTCCCAATAATAACTTTCACAATGTCATTTGAGGTGACCCAAAGCATTAATTGCCTCAACCTCACTCAAGCTAGCTCGGGGATTTTAGGAGTGTTTGGGTTTGCTTAAAAAAGCGTTTTTTAGCTTTTGGCTTAAAAAAAGCTGAAAAGAGTGTTTTCAAATGACAGCTTCTGCTTAAATTAATCATTTAAAAGCTGGAAGCAGGTAGAATGGTGCTTTAAACTGCTTCTCACTTTTTCTATTACACAAAAAGTACGTATTTTATCAAACACTACCAACTATGGCTGGACTCGGGCCGGTTCGGGCCTGGGCCCGGCCGGGCCTCGGGCCAGAAAACTGGGGCCCGAGCCCGAACCGCCGGTGGCCGGTTCCGGTTCCGGTTCCGGGCCAAACCGGGCCGGGCCAAACCGGTCTATTTTTTATTTTTTTATATTTTGGTTCTCCTATTTAACCCCCTACCCCTCCCCCTCAACCCCAAACCACCTCAAATGGTCCAAAATACCTAATCCAATCCAAAACTTAAAAAAATTTCAAAAAAAAAAAAAAAAAAAAAAATCCGGCCCGGACCGGGCCCGAACCGACCGGGCCGGTTCACCTAAAGCAGGGCCCGTCGGCCTGAGCCCGGACCGCCCATCACCCGGGCCGGGCCAAACCGAACCGAAGGACCCACCGGGCCCCGGGCCGGGCCAAACAGTAACCGGGCCGGGCCGGTTCCGGGTTGGGCCGCCCGACCCGAGTCCACCCCTACTACCAACTTTTAATTTTTCAGAATCACTTTTTTCTCAAACACTACCAACTTTTACTATTAACCACTTTTCTTAAAATCACTTTAAAAAATCACTTTTTTAAAGTTGAAGCAATTGCAAACACTCCCTTCATCTACTTGCATTATTCCCACTTGACCCTTCATCTACTTGCATTATTCCCACTTGACCTTTGTCTTTCTTATTAGGGGCCAAATACAAACAAATATTATGAGTATGTAGAAAACTCAGCTCTTCCTTGGTCGAAGGCTTAAAGCTCAACTAAAAATTTGAATTGTTAACACTGTCACAACTCTCCCACAAATTAAAGGCATCTCAAGAAGGCCATAGTAGGCATGGTGCTAGGACAGTCCTGGTCCCGATTCTAAATAATTGAAGCCCGATCCCGATCCGGTTTGGTTCGGTTCGGGTCTGGGTCCAAACAGTACCAGGCCCGGGTCAGTTCTGGGTTGGTACCCACCCATTTAATAAAAAAACAGTACCTAGCCGCGTTGGGCCTGGACCGGTCTAAAAATTCAAGCCCGCCCCTTTTAAGCCACGGTCCAGGTATCGGGCCGGTACCGGTCCTGGAAAACCGGTCTAGGGTCAAGTCGCCTGGGCCCAGTGCTCCAGTCCATCCCTAGACCATAGTAAGCTATAAACTAGTTAATGCGAACTTCTGATGTTAAGTCCAATATATAAGATCCGAAGACTAGCCAAGCTTTAGCGACCCAACCTTATAGAAGCCCATTAAACTATTTAGCTATTTCCATTTATCTGTTAATTAATGTTTTCATAAAGATACTTGCATTGTTTATTTGTATGTTTGTTTAATTTTTTTTATACATTACAATTTCTTTACATATAAGTTACTTCGTATATCGCATGATTTACCTTTTCTTCTTTCATGCAATCACTTATTTATAATTTATAAACAATGATTTCGTTCTTGAATAGAAAAAAGGCCAATGCTCTTCTTAGTCTTTTAAGACTAATTAGGGCATTGGGCGTAGGAATGTAGAATACACTAGGGATGGACCGGACCCGGTCGTATCGGCCCGGTACCCGGCCCGAACCGCTACTGTGCGATACTGGCCCGACCCAGCCGGTCGGGTTTGAGACCAAGGGCCAAACTAGGGGGGTTTTGGGGCGGGCCACGGGCTGGGGATTTGATGGACCGGACCGGGCCTAATTGTTTTTTCTTTCTCCGAAAAGATTGGGCTAGGCGGGTGGGGCTGGGTGGTTTGGGGGGGTGGGGGCTGAGGGGTAGGAATGAATAAGAAAAACCAAAATTTAAAAACAAAAATAAGACCCGACCCGGCCCGGTCTCGGTCGCGGAACCAAACCTGGGCCAGTATCAAGCCCTCATTTCCCAAACAGTCCCGCCCAAATCCCAGCCCGACCTGGGCCTGATCCAACCCTAGGATACACTCGATCTAGCTTCCTATTACGTCTAGCAAGGACAACAATAAAGCTTAGGCTTTCTTGGTCTGGCCCAATACTTGGCTTTGAAAATCCTGACTATGAGTCCATAAATGCTCTAAGAAAACAGCAATTGGACTTATTTCAACGCTAAACCAAATCAGGCTTCGATAATTGTAAGATACATATAAAACCGCAAATTATACCGCAGGATCGGTCCACTGTCCGCAAGGTGTGCCGATCCCACTTTAAGTACTTGCTTTCCTTTTTCTTTCTTCCTGGAACATTGTTCGTCCGTTTTCTTTTGCTTTTCTTTCTTTATTTTTTTCTTCATTTCTTCTCCTTTTCCATCAAATTAAAATACTAAAAATTTAATTGTAATTTTACTTTAATTTTTTTTTATCTTCAAATTAAATTATAATTGAATCGACTTTTTATTCTTTATTAATACATAGCAAAAAGTTTATTAATCTAAATAAAATAAGTATATTGCATTTTCATATTCATACACTATTTTTATTTTTTATATTCATACACTTCTTTTGTAATAAAATTTCTATATTCAAACTTTTTTGTAATTTTTTTTTTGATATTCACACACTTTTATTATCAGTTTTATATCGTTTTAGAGGTTTTCAAGACATTGAGTTTGTTTGTTTTTATTCTTCAAGTTACATTTGATAATATATGAAATTACATCTTATTATACGCGAGTTACATCTTATTATGTATGAGTTAAATCTCATTATGCGTTAGTTACATGTACTTATGCACGAGTTACGTCTTTTCAAACACAAGTTAC